GGGGATGCAGTATAGAGGAGGTAGCTCAGATGCAAAGCATCTGCCTAGACATGTGAGACCCCAGGTTCAAATCCTCAGTACTTGAGGAAAGACATCCAAGGAGGCATGAAAGGTATCATGAAATATACAAGTAACCAGATAAACTGAATGTTAACATAAAAGCAGTTTTTAATTTTTTTGTAGGATTTTTTGCTTTTTGTTGTTTTTTGAGACAGGGTCTCGCTATGTAGTTCAGGCTGGCCTTGAACTTGTAGTTATCCTCCTGCCTCAGGCTCCTGAGTGCTAGGATTACAGGCATGTGCAACTATACCCAGAAGCACACAAGTAGGGTTTTTTTGTTTTGTTTTCTTTTTGAGACAGGGTAAGGCTATATAGCCCAGGCTGACGGAGAATTCACAGCAACCCTTCTGTCTCAGTCTCCCTAGTGCTGGGATTACAGATGTGCATCATTATGCCCAGTTTTTTTTTATTTTGAGACAAAGTCTCACTAAACTGTCAAACTTGCATTCCTCCTGCCTCAGCCTTCTGTGTTGGAATTACAGGCACATGCACCACCACGCCTGCCCAGCAAACAGGAGTACAGTTTGAAGTGTCCCTGCCTCTTCACTTGTACCAGCATCCTTACCAATTGGCAAATCTACCAATTGTGAAGAATAATGAAGGGTCTGAGATTTTACCATATATTCTGGCTAAGTTAACCTGTTAGTTTCATGGATGCTGATGAAGATCTGTAACTACTGGATCTAAAACAAAGGATAGTTTTATTACAGCAATAGCCGGAATATAGCACTGTTGGAACATCCCAAAAGGGAACAAGGTGAGAACATGTGCACAGAGTGAGCTGCCTTACTGAAGAACCAACCCTAAGCTTAGAGAAAGTGAACCTTTTATAACTGGTTGTGAGACTGCCTCCCCTTTCCTGTTCACTATCCCAATATTCTTAACAATACAGAAAGGAGAAGCCTCTGGCTGTAGTATGTGCAAAAAAATCCCCAATCAACGAGACAAAAATGGAGAACTGTCCCCTAAACTATTCAACCTAAATAGTGCATAAAGCCCAGGACTTAGCTCAGCAGCGCAGCTCCTGCCTGGCAAGCCAGGGCCTGTTAGGTTCGTGGTAACAAAACAAAACAAAAAAGTAGTACACAACTAGTACTTCAATCAGGTGCCTGGGATTCAGGCTCTCGGCTGAGGTCTTGACTCCAGAGATTATACCAAGACCCCATACTAAGTTAGGGGTTTTGTAGAAACTGGAGGAGGTAACATCTGTGAGCTCATTAGCACAGCACCTGGCCCAGGTTAGGCATCCGATAGCAGGAAGCTGCTGCTGTTACTGCACTTAAAAATACTTAATTATAGTTATTAAGATTTAGTACTAGCTGGGAGTGGTGGCGCACGCCTGCCAGCACTTGGGAGGCTGAGGCAGGAGGATCGCTGTGAGTTCGAGACCAACCTGGGCTAGTGAGTTCCAGGCCAGTCTGAACTACATAGTGAGACCCTGTCTCAAAAAACAAAACAAAACAAAACAAAACAAAACAAAAAAAGATTTAGTACTAGCTTCATTAAAACAATCAAGTCTGGATTCCTCTACCCCTTCCCCTCCGGGTAGGCAAGCTGCGAAAGGTTAGAAAGAAAAAAAAAATTGGACTGAGGGTTTGGCTCAGCGGTTCCGCGGCCTGCCTCGCAAGCGCAAGGGCCCCAGTTCGATCCCCGAAAGATGGAACCTTTGCCCGACCCGACCCAGCCCAGCCCCGCGCACCTCGCACCTCCCGCTCGGGCTCCGAGTCCTCGTCGGCCTCGCGCTCCTAGGCAAGCTGCGAAAGGTTAGAAAGAAAAAAAAAATTGGACTGAGGGTTTGGCTCAGCGGTTCCGCGGCCTGCCTCGCAAGCGCAAGGGCCCCAGTTCGATCCCCGAAAGATGGAACCTTTGCCCGACCCGACCCAGCCCAGCCCCGCGCACCTCGCACCTCCCGCTCGGGCTCCGAGTCCTCGTCGGCCTCGCGCTCCCCCACGATCTCGTTCCCGCTTTATGCGACCCGAGCTGGGGCGCGACTCGGACTCGCGCTTCCAGCGGGTGGAACCACGAGACTCCCGCTTAGACCGACTGGACATCGCCACAGCCGGAGGAAAGAACTACCGCAGGCGCCGGGAACGCTTGCGCGCGCATGTCACAACCAATCAGCAGCGAGTCTGTTACCGAGCCCAAAACTCTCTACGAGTCGTCAATAGGGACAATTCATGCAGTCAGATACTTGCTGGAGCTAAGCGCCCCTGCGAGAAGCTGTGGACCCCTCGTCTCCTTATCTGTCATTTTCGTCTCACCTTAAAGAGACAGGAACATGAAGTCGGGCGTAGTAGTTTATGCCTGTAATCCCAACACTCGGAAGGCAGAGGCAGGAGGATTGCTACGAGTTCGAGGCCAGCCCGAGCTACATAATATGTTCAGGGCCAGCCTGAATTATAAAGTGAGACGCTGTCTCAAAAAACTAAAAAAAAAAAAAAAGAGAGAGAGAGAGAGAGACAGGAACATCTTATGGCCTATGGAATTTTCTGGATAAAGCTGTCATTCGAGCCCAGATTTTATTTATTTGTTTTTATTTTTGGACCTGGGATCAAACTCAGGACCTTGTGCTTGCAAGGCAGGCAGCAGCACCACTGAGCTAAATCCCCGGCCCCAGATTTTGTTGTTGTTGTTCTTCCAAATAACACAGAGGATTATTTTAAGAGGCCACTGTTACAAAAAAAATCTCTTTATGCACATTTAGAAAACTAGGAGTGAACAAATAAACTACAAAGCCAGTGCATACCACCACGAGTTCAAGGCTAGCCTGAGCCGCATAGCCAGATGTCTCAAAACAAAATCAGTGTAGCCGCGAGTGGTGGCTGAGGAAGGAGGATAGCAGTGAGTTCGAGGTCAACCTGGGCTACAAAGTTCAGGGGTAGGCTGGACAAAGCAAGACCCTGTCTCAAAAAAAAGTCAGTGTATAGACATTTCAGCGATTAAGGAAAGAGGTGGGAAGCCTAACTGATCTCAGATTTCTTCAAGAGACTGTGTGCCTCCAAACCACTATGGGGAGGTCATCTCACTCAGTTTGTTTTCCTCAGAGAATGATGATTCTGTACGAGAAAAGAAGGAAATATCCCCATACCATTCCCTTCATGCTTTAATTCCACATTTAGAGGATTCTTAGTATCAAAAAAGCCCAAACAGCTATCATGCCTTTCCATGATAGCTGACACTTTCCCAGAAGTAGCATGTACTTTTATATTTGCATTTACCTTCTTTTTCTATTTACTTGGCCCACTATTCATTTTTGCTATCTTCAATAAACTGAGACAAAGGCATAAACATCCTGCCAAGGAATATTTACGGTAAAACTAAGAAAACTCTAATTTCAGGACCTGCTTTGAATGTGTTTGCCTAGTTTTTTCAGTTGTTTGGTTTTTTCTAGTGGTGTTTGGCATTACACTTAGGGTCTCATACATGCTAAGTGCATGCTCTACCATTGAACTACCCTTGAAACTGCCTGTTTAAGAGTTCCATTGAGGTATAACTGTCACAAGGCACTGCATGTTTGATGTCCTCTGTGAACACCTCTGAAGTCAGCACTTCAATGAAGATAAGGAAACTGTCCAGCCCCAGAAGTGCCCTTGAACCCTTAGGAAATAAATCTCTGCCAGGCCACTAATCCATCTGTCTGTCATGATAACAGTGTTGTATTTCCTAGAGTTTTATATGCAAGGGTCATATGGGTCTTTATTCTTTTTGGCCTGGCCTCTTTCATTCTGTATTTATTTTTGGATCGGTCCCTGTTGTCGAGTATATGGATAGTTCATTCTTTTGCTTTGAAAAGTAACATCCTATTGTGTGGATATACATAACTGTATTCATTCATTAGTTTATTTGTTTGCTTTGTATGCTAGGGATGAACCCAGGGCTTCTGCGTGCTGAGCAAAGTTCTCTACTAGTGAGCTATATCCCCAGCCCTCTTTGTTCCTGTTCTAAATATGAATTCCTGATTTTGACTTTTAAAATGAGAATCTAAATGGGTGTGATGGCATATACCTGTAAACCCAGCACTTTGGGAGGATGAGGCAGGAAGATCTCACAAGCCCAGACTGTACAACATAGAATTTACTGTGATCCTGTCTCTAAAGTTAAAAAGGGCCAATGACATAGTTTAGAATGAAGGCCTAGATTTAAGCCCCACTGCCACAAAATAACACGAACAACATTTTAAAAATAAGGCTCAAAAATTATACATCCTCAAAAGTCCTGGTACCTCTCACAAGGACAGATAAACTCCTGTGTGCGGTGGGCGCCCAGGTGGGCAGCAGCTGAGCACCATGGATGCCAGTGAGACTGGGCAGGGCGCCCCGCTCAGCTACTGTGCTGACTATTTGAAACAGCTGCCCTCGGTGTGTCCACTTACAAATGAAGAAAGTGAGGTTCATCAGGGTTAATGAGTCAGCCAAGGTCATATAGGTGGTGATGAATTATCATTTATCGCCAGAAAAAAGAACTGATATTAATGAACATTCATGGGTGGTTTACATTATTTTGAATTTTCTAACATCAGTTGTAAGCAGAAATCTTTGTTTCTTATCGATACCGTCACCAACAAAATAAAAAGTCGGACATAGTGACACAAGTCTGTAATCTCGGCACTCTGGGAGGCAGAGGCAGGAGGATCCCAAATTCAAGCCCTGCCTGGGCAAGGAAGTGACTTAGTGAGACTGTGACTCAAAAAATAAAAAGGGCTGGGGATGTAGCTTATTGCGAAGGCCCCAGTACCCAGAGAAAAACAAAGAAAAACAAGGAATAAAATAAAGAAGGAAAAAAAAGGGGAGAAAAAGACAAACAGAAAAAGAAACAAAGGCAGAGACTGCAAAGCAACAAAGTCTCAACGGGGCGGTGGAATCGGGGCAAGCCCCACCCGGGCAAGCCCCACCCTAGCCCCGCCCATAAATTGCGCACGCAGCGACCTCTTCGGAGACCGGAAGTCCTGGTTCAGTGGCGGAAGCGGTGCGAGTGGCCCCGGGACCTCTCCTCCCGGGAGGGCTATAGTTGGGCCAGTTGAGGCAGCGGCGGCGGCTTCACGTCCTGGAATCCAGATGGAGGCGGCCCGGAACCCCGGACCGGGGTTCTGTTGTAAGCCTGGCGGGCGGCTAGACATGAGCCACGGCTTCGTGCACCATATCCGACGGAACCAGATCGCTCGGTACCGCCCCGCCCCG